CGCACACCTCCGTTGAATGCTAAATTTCTGAAAGTATCCCAGAACAAATTTTCTAATTAAGAGTATATAAGCAATTAAAATAGCACATGCCAATCAAAATGAGATTAAAAAAACTAGTACGATTTACTACCCAACCTAAGAAGCAGCCTTCTCCCGCTCCTAATGATTTGCCTTTCATTTTCTTAGATCGTCCAAATTGACAACATTCAAAAGTCCATTATTACATCTGTGAAAACACTGCGCTTTTTCTTAGAAGTCCGACGTAACGAAAGAAAGACACAATTTGAACAATTAACCCACCTAGTTCTTTCATTCTTGAACACAAGCACAAGTGAAAGAAGTTTCACTTGCTAAAATCAAGGAAAAATTTTAGTCAATTTCATAAATCACTACAAAGCCGAACAGTTCCAGTGAACCATTCAAATCCTTAGTTCCGTCTGATTTTCAAAACTGACAGTGCTTATAAACTGTTTCTATCCAACACCTCTAGCAACGCACTTTTTTGTTCTGTCGCTGGATGTTGGTAGAGCGCGGCTAAAGCTCAACAATAAGCTGAAAGGAAATTTTTGAAGTGAATGGTTAATGACAGATACAGAGAAATTTAAACAACGGTTTCACCAAGAAAATGCTGGTTTATCAAAGCAAAAGATTACATGTCCTCAGAATAATAAAACTAAGCTTGTAAAATTCATAAAACAATGAATCATACTCCGTTCTTGGAATTAAAACACATGCGGTGACGAAATAAGACTTGATTTTCATAAACTTCTTGTATTTTTATTCACTATTTATACCTGGCTAGCATTTAACTTGATTAATTTATCAACCAGAATGAAAGACGAGAGAACCAAAAGACAAATGAGAGTGAATATTAAAAAAATTATAAGGTTAAAAATGAAGTAGTAAAAACTCGCAAAATTAAACTGACGCACTTTAAACCTTCTATAATAGGCTTAACAAAACAAAACGAAACAAAAACAAAAAACAGCTAAGAATTGTAAAAATAACAAATTTTACAAAAACAGTCAATCAAAAAATCAATTTCAAAAGAGGCGAAAAAAGATACTTTAACAGGTATAGGACTAAGAAGATGTCTTTGAGGAGAAAAGAGAATTAAATAATTGGTTCCGCATTTCATGACTCCACTTCACTTTTTCTGGCATAGAAGGATAATAATTTACCAATTTCGGGATAACAGCATAACGGATTTTTCGTCCTTTAGAAGCTTTAGTATCAACCTTTTTTTTCTTTGACTTCCTCTGCCGCAACTGCTGTATTTCAATCCACTGCCTAGAAATACAAACAGAAACCAGTTAATAAATTACATAAGGACACTTCCAATAGCATCTAAAACGTAGAACTGTTTCTAAAACATAGCGGCACCTGCTCATTTCAATAGGATCGGTAGCGTCACTTTCTTTCTTTTCAATTAAGTCTCTTAAAATCTGCTGATAAAAGTCATCGTCGTCAAAAATTTCAGCGTCATGCGAATCCTATACGAATAAAGCATGCTTTAAAGAAGACCACTACAAGATAGGATAGGTATAAAAAGCTGGTTCTTAAAAAGCGTATGTGACTAATATCTACGAGGAAACCTTTCTATAATGCTAAAAGTTTGAACATCTCACTGATACCTCCAAATTCCCACCAATCCGATCAACCCCAGACCTGTTCACCTGCGTCCTCCTAATCAAACGTTTCTTATCCGCCATGATCTAAAAATAAACGAGCAGTGAAAGAGCATGATTTACCTGCACACGATCATCCTCAAAAATAAATAAGATACGAGCGTAAGCAAGATTATCCATACTAAAAAATTAAAATGACCTGATCAATCTGTTGAAGCACGACAGAGTCGAAAGCAGAAAAATTTTTCCTTGACATCTTCGTTGGTTTCATTAAACGCGTTCTCTCATCCCATTTGGACAAAGTCTTATTCCTTTAATTTTAAGACAAGAAAATGATAATTCACTCTGCATTAATATAATCTGTTTTTTAAAACAAGCGAAACTTCTCTACTGCTTCAAAACTTTTGAATTTTACCAATTTTTATTAAAAAATACACAAGTTTCTTCAAACAACTCAAATTAAAAAGTAAATACTCCTAAACCAAACCTAATTCAGTTTCTCATTGTACCAAAACTGCCTAGAAAATGGTAGGTAAGATCAGGAATGATATCTGGCGAAATTCTTCTGTTGTGGAGAAGACCAGTGTATCACGCCCTCAATTACCAAATTTACGCCAATTTTCTGCTTGAGATTTGACAAAAATTTTTTTTGTCGTAAAGTTTAAAAATGTCTGATTATCAAAAAGTAATGAAAAAGCTTCATTGATCAACTTTTATTCTACGACATATGACCGCTTAAGCTAAGATGACAAAGAGGTAACCTAAAATCAAGGAAAAGTGCCTCGCGTCGTGTCAGTTCACTGTTCAATTGGCTCAAAGTACGGTTTTTCCTGCGTTTCCGCCTAATAACAATAGTCTTCGTATCTTCACGACTAAAAATTTACCGGGAAAAGTTCAGCTATTAATTCATAAAAATAAAGAAAGAATTGATCAAATACAGTTAAGAATGGCAATCGCACAAGATCTTCTACTACCTTTCACTTCCAGGATACGCCGCTTCGTTTATGGCATTACTGTCTACTCCGTCCACCTCTTCTTTATCATCTTCTTTTTCTTCACTTGAACTTTCTATCTCTTCATCTTCAAGATCACTTGTCGCTAAACAGAAAAAAAGTGACAAAAAGTAATAAAAAATAAAACTAAAATGAACAGAAAAACACCGAAAAGCGAAAAAAAAAACCATTTCTTCCTTCCACAACCGAAGAAAATTGCCTCGAACTAGCAAGCAAAACGTCTTCAATCGAAAACAAAACATCCAGAAATTTCAACATTTTCTTCTGCACTGTAAGTAAATTAAAGAAGCATAGTCGCTTTTCCAACATATGCAATGCAGTAATCAAACTGCAATATATATTAACATTACAAAACCTCCGTTTAAATTACAAAAAGGCTAGAACTCACTCTGCTTATATTTTTTTCTTGCCTCCTCGTCCATTCCTTTCAGTAACTCCTTTGCTAGTTTTCCACGGGGCAAACAAGTAAACTCACGTAGGGCGAGATGGGTTTTAATTTGTAGATAAATGAGCTTGTCCCAAATGTTCATTTGACGTTGAACGCATTTACCTAAATGCACTGTTATAAAAAAAAATTAAACTTTAGGAAGGCACTCTTATAACTGCCCCAACACTATATTAAATAAGCACCTTTATAGACTTGTTGTTCAACGTCAGGCAGGGGAAGGACTTCCTTCAGTTCTATACGGTCTTCTTGTGCACTGAACTCTCCATTTTCTTCACTCTCCACACTACTAGCTAAAAAAGAAGTAGCTCGTGAAAATTAAAAAAGTGATATAATGAAAGAAAATTCAACCTGTTCCATCTTCTTCACTGAGTTCCTGATTTGAAATATCATCTTCAATATCAGAAAACTCTGTACCTTCGACAGACGACCCTAAAACTACGATATGATTTACAAAACAAGAAGGTACATTGAAAAACTGCACAATAATACCAACAAACCTCCATCGCTTGTTTCCCCAGGGTCAACAGAGGGCTTTACACGTCGTGACAAGCCACTAATCCTTTCCTCAGAAAAAACATCTTCTGCGGAAACTTTCTCCGCATCGCCATCCTCATCGTAAATTATCCGTCTAATTCGTTTAGATGGAGGCTGCTAAATATGAAAAAATAACACTTTAAAACTCTGTAGTTACGAAGTAAAGTAAGGCCACGTTAATTTCGCAAAAACTACTTTTTTACTACATTAAAAACCACAGAAAAGTTTGACGTATGGAGCATCCAGTAAGGTTTATCTACTCAAAAAGACAACCGCTTATAGTAAATTCTATAACATTCATATGTTAATATTCTCTACAACTTTGAAAAATTAAAAACCACTAGCTCTTTAATTGAAACAATTATTACAAAAAAATTTTAAAAAAAACTTACTACCGCAGTTTCATCGTCCGATTCTAGATGTTCTTTCCTCGTCCATAACTCTACAATGAAGATTAACTTTTCCACATTCACTCACAAACAATCATGCATATTTAAACAATTATTAGTCTTCACCGACTGCACATTTTAGACTTTGCTCATCAGATAACTTTCAAAAATTATTTTTGTTGTTGTCATGGATTTTAGGTTTTCTTTTTTGACTACAAACCCCCTCTTCGCATCAAATAAAGAAAGAAAAGGGTAAATGATTAAGCAGAAAAGATGTTGTGCCGTTTACCGTCTGTGTCGACTGCGTCTTCAACGTCAGGAAGCTCAGGTGCAGGTTTATTTAATGAATCTATAATTTCACGCAATCTTGCCATTGACGGCAAATGTAATGCCCTACCAATATGCAAGAAAAATTTCCCACAAAACTGACGGAGTAACTTAATATGCAATGTACAATCAGAGAAATAAAGCACCAAAAATAGAGCTGCAAGAAGACAAATCATGAAAAAATTAGCAGTTGGCCAGTTGCCAGATATACTTGGAGAACGGCATATAAAAGATTTTTTTAACACAGTCATTTTGTTGCGGAAGCCACTTGGCTATTTGATGTGAGTTGATTTCGAGGATTTCCAGAGCATTTATTGTATTTGTATATGTGCGCTGTTTTTTAGAACTTGAAATTTGAAGCTATATGGAGACTGCTTTTTTTTTTCATTCCAGAAGAATTTTTTAATTTTCTACTTTCTTTTCTTTATGCTAAACAAGCCTCCATTCAACGGTCATTAAATATGTTTTTTACATAGTGCAGTGGAGGAAAAAAAACAAACACGGAGGAGAAAGAAGCACTACTTCAACCATAGTATGTATTAGAGACTGTGCATCAAGAATAGGTTTTGGACGCGATCTCTTTACGCTATCGTAGCTATTAAGCACATTAATCGTTTCGAAACAAGAAGCTGTCTTTTAGCTGCAAATATTAACCATATTAGAGAAAGGCCTCTTGGGTTAGTGAAACTATAGCTAACAGTGCTGGCGGTAAGTCAGTCAGCTTGTTTATACAACAGCAAACTTGATTCCTGACATGTACCAGCTGTTTTCTTTACTAACATGGTGTTCTTTTTTCTGTGTTTTGTCCATTATGTATAATTCTTGTCAAAGATGTATATTCCGTGCCTTGTTTTATTTCTGTTTAGTATTACTGTTGGGCCGTCTTTTGTATATCACCACCTGTATTTTCATTATCTTATGCCAAAAAATTAAATGCAATACTGTTTTTTTGTTTTTGTTGGGTATATAATGAGACTTAAGTAGTTCCTCCTGAAAGTTGCAATAAACTGTTGAGAGAAAGAGTATGTTGAGTGTCAATTTATGGAGGGTCTCGTTTTGGTGCTTGTGGAAGTTGTAACTGATCAGAATGTATATTTAAGTTAGGTCAAGGAATCGTTGCATTTTTCTCGCTTTTTCAGCAACTTTAATTTTTCTTAACTTTTTCTAAAGCAACTTAAAGAATGTAATGCAAAGTTGGTCCTGGAATTGCAGATGAGGCTTTCTTTCTATTAAAAATATTATTTTGGTACCTTCTTCGTTCCTGTGCTTTGTGTTTTTTAGTATCCCAAGTCAATTTTAGCTTTATACTTCAAAATATATAATGCTTTTTCAATTTCTTAACGGGTCATACTGTTCAGTTTCTGGTTTCTACCTAAGTGACTTTTTGATTTCTATAGCCAAGCCTTTATTGGATATCGGTTTGCTTATAACTTTTGTGATGTAACGCGTAGCTAACAATAAATTTTTTTTCTGTTTTTTCTCTATTTTTTTAAGTGCCTTATGAATTTCTATCTTAACCGCTTCAAACAAAAGTTGATGGACAGCTGTATGCGATTTCTGCTACTTTTTTGGGATTAATTATTACTTTTCTATTTTGCTTTACGTAATTTATTTTGTGATATTTGGTTATGATTTTCTGTCATTTAGGAGAATGGGTTCGGTCCGTAGTATGGATCCAGCCGAGGACTATGCCCAGCGTTATCTTCGCCAGGCTGCGGCTCAAGTAATTGAAAACACTGGTTTCTCCCACTGCAGCGAAAGTGCCTTAAATATTATCTCTGATCTCACTCGCCGTTTCATGGAAAAGTTGTGGTATGATGGGAAACTTTTTGCTGAACATGGTAAGTTTTTTTATGGTAATGGTCGGTCATATCGTGTCAATCGATTCAAAAGTTATTTTTCGTTAAATTAAAAAATAAGTTAGTCATTTCTAAAAACTGCTTCTAGTTTATTAAAAAGACTTTACCATGGTTGTCTTCATGTTAAAAGGTGTTTCTAGTTAGAAGTGGCTTTTATTATTTACTTTCTAATCTTTTTGTTCTCGTATTTTGTCCTTGGTAATCATTTTTGGTTTAGAAATCAACAGCTCGTTTTTTTTAAATTTATTTGCTGATTTGGGGGATGGAAAACTAAGATAGTGCTAATTTTTTCAGCCATACGTTTATTCTTTTATTGTTTTTTGTACAGTTAACTCCTCTTTTCTAATATCAAGTAGAAAGTTGCGGAACTTTTCAAGCGGTAGTGTGGACTTCTCTTTAATGTTAGCGTTGCCTTAGTGTATCTTACTTATTCATTTTGATGACAGTATACTATGTTTCGGTTATTCCTTATTATACATTTTACCTTGAATTATCAACTGACATTGTTATGAAGGACTAGGTAGTACTACTTATCATTTTTTTTAAATGGCTGATTATTCCTTGTTTTTAGCTGGTAGACTGGAGCCTAATCTCCAAGATGCTCACATGGTCCTCCAAAAATTGCAGTTAAGGACAACAGAATTGAGCGATTACATGAAACAAGTTGCAAGTCACCCAATCAGTCACAAGGCAATCTAAAGCTTTTATTTCTTTTTCTCTTTTACGTTTTGTGAATAAAAGATTATGTTTGGAGGTGAGTGAATCTCCTATTCTTTTAACTATTGAATTGATTTTAATTAGGTGCCGCATTTCCCGGTTTCAAGAAATACCTCAAGGAGCATATACGGTTCAGTTTCTGATCGGGAACTGGCAGATCGTCCTGAACATATTCCTTCGTATTTCCCTGCAGTGCATCCTGAGTGGTGTGCTGATCATGGTTAGATCGCTTTAATATGTTTCGAAAAGTTAATTTTTTAAAAATTCTACGTCGACTGCTCTCTAATCTTTCGTTACAGTTTCTTCACTGGAAGGACAGTCGCTAAAACAAGCTACAGTTCCAGAAGCATCAAGTACAGAGAAGAGAAGAAGTGCTAAGTTTAAGTATGTCTCAAAATGTTTGGATCATCTGTATCATTTTTTAATATTTGGTTTTTATATATTTGTGTAAAGTATTAAATTTTTAGTGTCCACCCAGCTACATCCAAAGTTCCTTTCCCTGACTTTACGGGTATGACAGCGAAGGCTCTCGGCCTTGTGCGGCAGAAGAGGACTTCAATGGCTTCTTTGAATAGGGTATCTGCAGAACCGAGTGGGATTTCAAGCAGTGCCAATTTATCCTCTGCTCAGCTTAATGTTTCTCCGAGCACTAGTCATTCTAATAAGTCAAGGCACAAGAAAGCAAATTCGACCACTGCTGTAAGAATAAGTCTTCACTGTCGTTTTATTTATTTCACCAATTAATTTGTATTTTTTTTTCTGGTTTTTGAAGCATTACCTTGAAGGAATTTAGAAAAACGTTGGTAAACAGCCACTCCCCACTCCGCCACCGAAACCGCCTATTACTGTTCCCGAACCTGCTGCAGTTGTTAGTGAGTCACTCATAGAAGACGCAAAAGTAAAAGAGGAAAAGGTATCTGAGGATGGCAGTGAATCTCCTACTATTGTGAGTTGCTTCGTTTAATTTTTAGCAGCGGAGCCAGTCATTTCAAAACAAATTGTTATCTTTTTCAGAGGCCTTCTGGGATGTTTGGTATGCCACCGTCGGCAGCTGTCTGTAGCGACACTTTGTTTATAACAGGTGAGAAACTGAAAAAGAAGAAGAAGAGAGACAAGGATGGAGCTGTAAAGGTTAAGGAGAAAAAAGAGAAGCATAGGGAAAAGGAGAAAGAAAAGGACAAGAACAAGGAAAGGGAACTGCCACCCATTAAGGTAGGAAGCTTGTTGAAACTGGATATGCAAGCTTTTTTCAAAGTGTTTACTGAAAGATTGTTGCTTGTCTATTATTAATAATCAGTTGAAATTGCATTAAAGTCGGATATTTGATATTTGTTTTAGTTGTTTTTAATCTCGTGTTTTTTACCAGTAAAATTTGAGGTTCATGAAGAAAATGCATCTTCTTCGACTGCAGCTCTTTTAAACGACGATATTCCACTTAGTATTCTTTCTAGTCAAGTTTTTGGAGAAAGACACACTGCCAGTCTTCTAAGTGGAGGCAAGACGAGTTTTTTGTCATTCTTAAGAGTTGTAGTTGGTATTTTTCTACAGATTTTGTTCTTCGAAGACTATTCTTCTTTTTTTATGGTATTATGTTTCAACAGTGACTCATTTGTCAGAATTTGACATTGTTTTAAGTTAACAGCGGTTGTGGTGTCACAGTTCTTATTCTATTTAATTCGTTAAATTTTTGACTTTCCTAATATTAAAAAAGGGTCTTTTTTCTGCTGAACGTTTGTTTCTGGACAGTTATCTGTTCTGAAAAGTGCAGATTAGTTTAGTATATCATATTCTGCGGTAGTTCCTTTATTTTTTATTTATGATTTAATACAGCACTGAATTTTTAGCTCTACCGTCTATGCTTCAAAATGATATTGATGAAAAGCCATGTCCAGTTTTGACTCCTAACCTACCTGAGCGGGTTTCGCCATTAACAGTATTTTCAAAGGAAGAAGTGTAAGTTACTGGTTATTGTTACTGAAGATCTTAATTACGAATCTTCGTTTTATATACGAATTTTTATAAAAGGAGGAGAGGAGTATATTTTAATCTTTTTTGTTCTAGCGTCATCAAAACTAAAGTTACACTAAAAACTGTTAACTTATTAGGCATTAGTATTGTTTAGAAGTGATTTGACCTTCAGGTTTTCAAGGCCGCCGGAACTGGTTCAACAAGCTGTAAAGCCTAAGAAGGAGGTTTGTTTATGCTCTATTATTCCTTTCAACATTTTTGAAATATCGTGGCGATTGCCATAATCCGTGAAAGGAGCTGCGCCAAGCAGAACTTGTCGAGTTTTTGGTTTTCTTTTGCCTTCTTTTCTTATGCAATTTTATACACGTAAAAAAGCAAATGCTCGAGGTTAATTTGTTAGGGAATGCCTCAGAATGATTGCTTCGCTCATTGGTCATTAATATACGCTTGCTCTTGTTTTTCACTTTTGTTTGGGCTAAGAAAGTATGATTTGCCTAATTGTACTTTCGGTGAGATTCTCATGTTATATACGTATATGTGTGAGTATATATTGTAAAGTTTAATAATTTAAAGCTCAAACGAGGAAAATCAGAAAAGTCTCGACCAAAAGTCAAGTCAGTTGAAATCGTGCCTTCAGACGACTCTGACTCCGATATATCTTCCAAAGGCACAGCTAATTCATTACGTCTATCGTCTGTCTGCAAGTATTTTTTTCATTACCTTATCGCCCTTTAGCCTCTGGTTCCATTTTTTACTTTTTTCGGTTTGCTGCGATGTGCAACCCTTTTTACTTTTAGTCCTGGTTTGAGGAAAGAACTTGACGTAAAGGTGAATAAAGATCTCTTTGCGAAACCTCATATCAGCAATACTGCTCGGATGGTTTCTTTGGAGAAACCAAAAGAACAAGAAGAATCCACAGAGCGAGTGAATAAAGAGAATAGAGATGAGCGTCAAAAAACCCCTGTGGCACTTCCTGTGAAATCCACCGCACCAACTGTCCCTATAGTTCCCACTCCAAAAGCACCTGAAAGGAACAGCTCCACTGTTACTGATGTCCTGCGAATTAATACGAATGATGAAGGCTCTCTTACGTCAATAGTTAAAGAAGGTTAGGTTTTTCCCTTTTCTTTATTTATAGCTTACACTGTTTGAAGGGCTTTATGACCAGAAACAAGGTGTGTCTGAAGTTTTGTCCTTTAACCAGTGGGATTGTGTATTGGCGTAGGTGTTTTTTTAAATAGAAAACAGTAAGAAATTTGGTCGGAATTAATTTTATTTTCAGAAGAACCACCAATTAAAATGATTTTTACAAGACCTTTGGGACAAAGTGAATTTTCAGCTTTTTCACCTAATGGTTTGTGGTTGGACTGATATTTTAATTGCACTTCTAAATTTTGTTTTGTTATTTTTCTCTTTTTTATTTTTTTTTTCTGCTGATGATGATTACACCAGTTTCCTTAGCTTATCTTTGAAAATCTTAGTTCTTGAAGAATTTTGAAAACATTTTTTCAATTAGTATTTTAAGCACAGTTTTTTTTAAGATAAAAAATCACCTCAGTGGAAAGATCTTCCAGTTGTTACTCAGCCGGAGAATCTTACGCAAGACGTTCCTGGTTTGAGCATGCAAACACCTGTGACAATTAAGTTAGATGCTAGGGAGGAGTGTCTTCGAAAGGAGAAGAAGAAAAAGCACAAAAAGGTAAAAAAGTGAACGTTTCCAACTGTTAATGAATTGAATGATTCAATCGAGATTTTTTGATTAATTGCATTACTACTTCTTTAAAATTGGTTGATAAAATTTTTTCTTAAAGAATTTGGATTGCTGTTTTATATATATATACTTTTTTTTTGTAGGATAAAGAGCGAGATTATAACGAAAAGGAAGAAGGGCATCACCATCACCATCACCACCACAAAAAGAAAGATAAGAAAAAGGACAAGGAGCATATAAAAGAGAAACATCAGCCACAGGAAGGAAACGAAGTCGCGGTAGAAACTAGTTCAAGTAGAAAACGTAAAGGAGATTCTGGTAACTATTAAAGTTTTATTTATTTCATTACCATTAAGTATCATAGCCAAATTCTATTTTGTTTTCAGTCAATGTTAAAATCCATTTACAAACTAAACTTTTTTGCATTTTGAAAGGCTCTACTTTTATAGAGCCGCTCGATCAGCAACCAGAGCTGAAAATCCCGATATTGAAAATTAAGCTCGGCGGAGGTAACACTGATTCTGTCCGCCAAGCCCCAAAAGTATGTTCACCAGTCACGCCACCTTTTCCTTCGGTCTCAAAAGATGCTAGCAAGACGAAAAATAAGGTCTTTCCAAGTGCAAGGTAGGAATATTTTCCTCTATTACTTCCGCCTTTTCCTTTTTTTTTTTTTTTTTTTTTTTTTTTTTTT